CATGAGAAGAAAAGGGGATTTGTCAGCCACCTAAATGATCGTGGAAGCAGATTCTCTCCCAAGCTTGCCGAGAAAAGCCCAGGCAGCTGATCCCGAGATTCGCACCTTGTGAGACCGTGAGCGGAGGACACAGCCAAGCACTGTGGGCTTCTGACCTATGCGGAGAAAATAAATGGGTGCTGTTGTAAGGCACTGAGTTCATGTAATGGTGGAGTCATGGGAAACTGATAAGTACAGGATCAAATTTAATGACAAATTGTTTAAACAGTTAAATAAAATAAGCTATAAATAACCCCAGCAAAGACACAAGGCTGTTCCCAGGCATAACAATTGTTACCAGTTTGAGATGTATCTTTCTTTATACATTGATATCTCTATAAATACATGTCTATATATCTCTATATATAGATACATGTATGAAGATCTTATATATAGACAGATATAGATCTGTATCTTCATATCTATATCTAAATGTAGAGTTATAGAGACATAGATCTATATAGGTAGTCATAGATACAAATACAGATAAATATGTAGACACACATGTTTGTATAGATGGACATATACGTAGGTCTATTTGTATACATACATACACATATACATTATTATTATTATTTTGAGACGGAGTCTTGCTCTGTCGCCCAGGCTGGAGTGCAGTGTGGAGATCTCAGCTCACTGCAAGCTCCGCCTCCCGGGTTCACGCCATTCTCCTGCCTCAGCCTCCCGAGTAGCTGGGACTACAGGCGCCGCCACCTCGCCCGGCTTATTTCTTGTATTTTTAGTAGAGGCGGGATTTCACCGTGTTAGCCAGGATGGTCTGGATCTCCTGACCTCGTGATCCACCCGTCTCGACCTCCCAAAGTGCTGGGATTACAGGCGTGAGCCACCGCGCCCGGCACACGTATACATTATTAAGGCATTTTGTCTTCCTTCAAAACTCATATAAATATGTTCATGTTGGACTTGTTGGTATTGCTTCACCCAGTCAGTGATGAGTGTGGAAGATGTTTTTATACCTCCTTCTCGGAAACACTGCATCCTATTTCCTGGTGCGTATGAATGAAGCATGTTACTGAATCGCTCCTGTTTACCCGGTACAGAGTCGCATGTGCTTGTCTGTCTCCTGCTGTGAAACGCACCAGGGAGTGTAGGTGGCTGAACACGCTGATGTGCGAACATGCAGATTATTGGGTGGTTCTGACACATCTCTTCCTGCTCCACCGTGATTGCACGTTATTTCTATAGTTGGATAATTGCTAAATTGCCTTCGCCAACGACTGTAAAACCTAGTATCCCAACTAATGTGCGGCGCGGTTCTCCCGCCTTTCATTTTTTGATCTCTTTCAGCGCGTCAACTCGGGCATTGCGGGACCTGAGGAATCTGGGAAGCTCAGATTGGGGGGGATGAGAGAGACGAGTTAACAACATGAGTTCTGTCTTTAACGGCGCTTCTCGCGCACTCCCGCACATGAGTGGAAGACACACGCCCAGCCCTGCATTGATATCTCTATAAATACATGTCTATATATCTCTATATATAGATACATGTATGAAGATCTTATATATAGACATATATAGATCTGTATCTTCATATCTATATCTAAATGTAGAGTTATAGAGACATAGATCTATATAGATAGACATAGATACAAATACAGATAAATATGTAGACACACATATATGTTTGTATAGATGGACATATACGTAGGTCTATTTGTATACATACACACACATATACATTATTATTATTATTATTTTGAGACAGAGTCTTGCTCCATCGCCCAGGCTGGAGTGCAGTGGCAATATCTCAGCTCACTGCAAGCTCCCTTAGGCCAACACTTCCCACAGCGCATGCGCTGCACGAGGTCCCGCCCAACATCGCCCTATCTGTAACCTACATGCATATACAAAAAAATGCTGTTCTAGAAATGCAGAGAGCGCTGAAAGCACACTTATTCATTTTCCAATGTGCTTCTCCAGCCCGAGGAGCTGAAGTTCTGACGAAATAGTCAATGCATGACTTTGGAGTCAAGAAATTTTTTAAAAATAAGGGTTTCGAATTGGAGTGAAAAAGACAAAAATTTTTTAACATTTACTGCACACTGGATTATCATTCTAAATGCGTTTCACACATGAATGCATAAAATCACAAAACATTATCGACATCTATCTTTGCTTTTCCAGTAAGCCCACCACTTGGAATAAATGTTTTTTAAAACAGTAGTTTTTAAAAACTCAGGAATGAACATCAGAGGTAAAGAAAGGGGGTTCCGGCCGGGCGCGGTGGCTCAAGCCTGTAATCCCAGCACTTTGGGAGGCCAAGACGGGCGGATCACGAGGTCAGGAGATCGAGACCATCCTGGCTAACATG